GTTTTGCAATTGCTCAAATGTACATCGCAAATCAGAAAACAAAGGCATGTACCATCCACTAAAAATACTGTATTCTATGTATTAACATGCTAATTTTTCTGACCAGCTCTATATCTTCTGTATTTGAGGATGTGAGTGGAGAAAGTGAAGAGTCAGAAAAGTGATTGAATTTCATATTGTAGTTTCCAAGGCCTGGAAAAACATGGAATTTTGTTGCGATGGAAAATTGTTCAAAATTTTCTTGTTTCTTACAATGACTTGCTATTTCTTGAGCAAATTTAAAACATATTAATTATATTTAATGAGCTTGCTAGTTCTGATAAATYGATTCCTACCCATTGCAACCAGTTGAAAGTCACTGTTCACAAAGTTGACTTTCAATACTATTTTGGTCACTGAAGTCATGAAATTTAAAGACTGATTTAGACGGCACAACGTTTGCCTACAGCCATTGCATGCAACCTGCGGAAGTCACCCTTGCAACACAGCTGCAGCTGTCCTGGGTCTATTAAGCAATTGTTTAAAATCCCTATGGCAGTTGTACAGATGACTTACGTAGGTTGCATGTGATGGTTGTAGGCAAAAGTTGTGCTGTTTAATTCGGCCTTCAAAAGTGTTTATATATAAATATGATAGCCCACTTTKATCAAGAACATACTGTAGCAACTCTTTCTGTTATTGGACTTTTCTTGTAAAACTTTAGAAAGGAAACATCATTGAGTGGAAACAGTGCGCTGCAAGTTGTACTGGAGGCAAAAAACATGTTGCAAGGAAACAATGTAAATCTAGAAAATATGGAAGAGTTGGCAAAGGTAAAATAGTTGTCATGATGATTATGTAATGCTTTGATAGAGTGCAAACATTAAATGTGTGCAACACTTTCCACTATTTACTACAAAATAGTGTTAATTAAACAATAGAAAACAGTAGAATTAGCATAATTTAGTGGTATTTATGTTGCACAGTTTTAGTGCTTGTACTCTAGCAGATATGTTCACAGTATATTTTTTTATCTGCATAATATAAACTGTACTGGTCCATGGCACCATAAAATGCTGTACTAGAACAATAATTGTAGTGATCCTGCGCTGGAAACAAGTTTGTCTATAAATTAACTTGCAGATATTTGGCTTTTTCCAGTCCTGTATTCAGTGCATTTTTAAGAACAAGAATGCAATCATAGAAGCCGCAAAACATCATAGCTTTTCATTTTAAACTTGGATAAATTGGGAAAAGGAAAACTTCATTAAGGAAAGAGTTTTTTATATATTATTTTTAGGTGAGAGAAGCTGAAAGTCAGTTACAGAAGCTTCAAGTWAGCATTAAAGAATGCACAGATAAGGTATGCTTTTAAGACAGTTTTSATATGCAATGAAAAGACATTGAATCATCACCTAACTTTGTTYCTTTCAGGGCCTTCTTGATGATCTCATATCAAGGAGAGACCAAGCAAGAGGTGACCTTAATGATGGCATCAGCTTATTTCTAAAACATGTGGCCAACATGGGCTTGGATCGGTATAGAGCTAAGTTGGAGGTACGTTAGTATTATTGCCAAAAACTGTTCTTAAAATCCCAGTACAAGTGGGATTAGCCTTGTTTTTAAGATAGAAAACAATAGAATAAACAGTCAATTCACACATAGATTTGAGGCTATTGTACTGGAATTTTGAGAATAGTAATTGGTGCTTCCTGGAAAGCATATCAATGTTGGTAGCACATGCTTCTTACAGGGCTACTTGGACGAAAATTGCAAAACATTAGAAAAGATTTGAAAATTAAATAGAACTATCCATATGGGTCTAATAACCATGAAGCAACAGATTTTAAGACGATATTGATACAAATCCTTCATAATTTGGACAAAACATGTTGGAGTAGATGATGTCATTTACTCCATTCTTTTGTTCTTCCATCTTTTGAATCAAAATTTCTCTGATGTGGGATAATTCCAAAACAAATATTTTCCGGCAATTGTTTTTAATAGATATATAATTTATGTGAGTCATATATTTGTATTGCTTGAAGTTTTGAAATAAGGCCAATTTCATGCAAGTAGCACTTTAACATAATCTTACTGTGGATACTAGAATTGGCATATTTCTTCCTGGCCAAGTTCTTTGTATTGTTCACCTTCTGCTCCATACACAGTGCTGAGCTATTNATGGTGTTGTCGTTGCTATTGCTGTAGTTGCTGATGGTGTTGTTGCTATTGCTGTAATTGCTGATGGTGGTGTTGTTGCTATTGCTGTAGTTGCTGATGGTGTTGTCGTTGCTATTGCTGTAGTTGCTGATGTTGCTATTGTTGTAGTTGCTGATGGTGTTGTTGCTATTGCTGTAGTTGCTGTTGCTATTGCTGTAGTTGCTGATGCTGTTGTTGCTATTGCTGTAGTTGCTGATGGTGTTGTTGTTGCTATTGCTGTAGTTGCTGATGGTGTTGTTGCTATTGCTGTAGTTGCTGATGGTGGTGGTGTTGGTATTGCTGTTGTATTCGTAGTAGTTATTGCTACTACAACTACTGTTGTTTTTGTTGATATTTTGGTTCATTCATCTCTTTCATTCTTCTTACAGTCAAAGAAAGATAATAGCCTTAAAGAGATGCATGATTTAGTTAACAAGAAATGTGAGACACTAAGTGATGTTTATAAGCATGTAATTAAGGTATGATATTATTTCGCAGTTAAAAGTGTTAAGTGCAATAATCATTCATATGTATCTTTTGTCACAGTGTTTGGATCTAGAAGAAGATATTGTTGATGAAACCGAAAAYTCCAGCGTCAAGGATTTAGACAACATAATGGTTTTACTGGAAGCCTTGATGCAAGAAGAAACTGCTAAAAGCAAGGTATATTCATCCTTTGTCAAAACTAAATTAACTAACTGTTGCAAGAAGTGATGCTAAGCCTGGTCAACACTGAAGATTTTTGCAGCAAATTTTTGTGGTCATTTTGAGCATAGAGATTATTTTTAATAAACTGTAACTTGCAAATGTTTATTCAGTACACTGAGATGGGATAACTAAATGTTTCTTTGCAAGAATAAGACAAAATCTTTTATATTTTTGAAAATCACAAGTGTGTCTAGTCTGTACATAAACATACAACTCTCGTCTTATGGACACCCCGCTACAACGAACACCTCAATACTGTGGACAGTAAAATACTGAATCCCCAGCAAAATTGCAAAGATACTCTCATTATTATGGACTCTCGCTACTGTGGATACTAAATTACGGCCCCAAGGGTGTCCGTAACAGCGAGAGTTGGCTGTATTGTAACAGGCTCCTGTTATAACAAATTCAATTGTTTTTGCCTTTTTAGTGCTCGGATACTGAGGTCAAGTTAAGAGATAACGCCATTTTGTCAAGTCTCTTTGAAATCACAAAACAACTTGATGCAATAACTGAGTTGAGGTGAGTTAACAACAAAAATACTGGCAGCAAAATTACACAATGTTTCTTGATCCCAAAGGAAATCCCAAAGTTTACAAGCTAGATCTGTTAGGCTGTAGGGGAGGGGGAGGGGGATGGAAAAAACAAGAGCCCCACACCCCTCCTCTTTCCTCCCCCAACCCACCACCCCCCACTCCACTTCCAATATTTGCTCTACACTTCAGAGGCCTTAAGGCCCGTTTACACTTGCAATTTTTGCAGCGAATCGCCACTTTGTTCTCTCCAACATCAAATCGTACTTGTAAACAAATCATCGCGAGTTGCAGCCAAATTTCAAGCATGTTTGAAACTCAGGCGATTGTCACGCGACAATCACGCTTCAAAAATCGCAAGTGTAAACAGCCCTTTAGATCTGCTTGACAAACTCAAGGTACTTAAAGTAGCAAATAAAGGTTTGACACAGCACTAATGTTGCCATTGTTCTTTCAGTGATAACCTTCTTACACACTATGCTATGGTGCAAGTAAGTATTGTTTTCTGTATTTTCTGTATATGATATATTATATATTATATCTATTTCAGCTTGCAATTAACAATCTCTTATGATTTGAAATCTTTCTATCAGGATAAACTTAGTACCTGTAAGGACAGAAAGCCAGACATTACCCCTGCTGTGTCCACTAAGAAAAAAATCCGAGGCCTTAAGTCCACCCTCGGACGTAAACTAATCGATAAAGAGGACATGGAGGTAACATTTTCTTGGTGCCTGAAGAGTTTTGTTATTTCTAAGAGTTATGCCTATCTTGTTAAAGTGGTAAAATATTACCACTTTAATATTATTATTAAAATATTAGTCTTTTTATTATATTTCTGTAGACTGAATSCTTTAGTGAAGAGGGAGCTAAAAAGGTTTGTTTTAAAAACTTTAATATTTTTCATCACTAGTTTTCAAGGGTTTTATTTGAAGGAAAAATAGACTTTGCACCACAAGAATACACATCTCTGTCAGTGAAATTGTGTCCGATTTGTTTAACGTGTTCAATCTAAACCCTTTTTCAGCTTGAAGAAGAGCTTAGTACACTGTACAATGAACTCCACACAGCCTTTGTRGAAGAAGAKTCTCTTACTGTAAGTTATGTTTTTAATCTTAAAAGAGCTTGCTAAAGTTAAATTAAGCACAAAATAGATTCTAAGTAATAAACGAGCCCTTCTCTTCTACTTCTTACAGTCAGTGTAAGCTTTAGTTTCTTCAATATCTTGAAGGGTATTTTCCTCTGAGAACATCACCAATAGAATTATAAATAATGTAGAATCTTTTGATTTGAAACCTGCAGAATGAATTGGCTAAAAATACACAAGATTTCCCAGAATTGCCACTAAATTATCCAGAACTCGGGATTTCATTATGCCTGGTAAGTTCAGAGTCACACGTAAGATTACAAAAGCTGGTATTCATCCATTCACTCCTTTTATGTAACATATAAAATATGAGCGGGAGACCTTTTATAAGTATATAAAATTGCAAGCTGCAATCAAGCAAGCAGTTTTAGAGCCCATAAAGGTCAGAGGCGAATATTTTATATTGCTTATCAAATTCCAAGCTAAAACATATTTTGCAAAAAATGTCAGGATAAAATATTATTTGTAAATAATATTTACAACATGACCAGCCGTGTTATATGGGATTTTACAATCTCGAGCTGAAGGCGAGAGATTGTAAAGCCCATACAACACGGACATGAATGTTGTAAATTACTTGTGAAACGTTTTGGTGTATACATTCATAATCTACTAAAAACTTAAAGATAAAATTGAATTTGGCTGARAAAATTAGATTTGAAGTTTATACAAATCAAGACAGTTTTGTATCAAATATTACAACACTCTTCACGGTTGTGATTTCTATTGTGTTTTCCTCACTAATTATTCATGAGTTTTACAAGAGAAATTGAGCTAAAGTAGTATGCAAAGCAGTACTCTCTTCCTCATAAAGATGCGGTCACAGCAATGAATTATTGATGAATTTGATAACATTTATTCAAGTGATTGYTTGAATTCCAGGAAACCAATGGTCTTGTCAAAAACAATAGAAGTGAMAGGGACTTTTGTCTTGAGGAAACAACTGAACCTGGAATCGTCATGTCGCACTTTCTCGGTGAAAAGTGTTACATCAAGGTAATTATGATGATCAAAAAGGGTCACTTATAAAAAATGATGAAATGAATCAACAAGAGGAGCACTAAAATCTCTTTCTTTCTCGTCATTAGGAGTATTTTTTAAGGAATTCAGAAAGCAAAAACAAGTTCCAGTCCAGAGCAGTTRAATTTCACAATTGCACTTGTAGTCAACTTACCAGACTAGATGCTCTTTTCTACGGCAAGGTAAGGGAATGATCAGGATTAAGGGATGTACCATTCATTTAAGAAGACAGGCAAGGGGGGGAATCTTTTAGGGGGTGAGGCAAGGGGGGGGAGTGGTGGTATTTTTGAAGATATTTTTGGTGTTTGCAGACATTTCAAGTGGAAATTTTCAAAAAATAGCCACATTTCAATCCAAAAGCAACAAACAACATGTCAATTTCATCAGCAATGTTCCCCATTTTCAAGGGCTTTCAAGTGCCCCAGAATTTAAGGACTTCAAGGAGTAGCACAAAGCATTTAAACAAAAGCTCATATCTCTAGGGGACAGAAGATATAAGAATAGCACAGATAAGTAGCTGTAAAATGTTTTCATTCCTTTCTAGAATGGCAGAACAGCATATCTCCAAGTTCCTTATTACCAAAGTCTAGAAGAATGGTTGACAACAATACCAACATCTGAAGTAAGTCTTTACTCAAATCTTWTAATCTGTGAAAAATATCCATGAATTGTATTAAACATGTAGTTTGTTGCTACATGTACTGTACTTCTAACACTCCAGTTTCGAGATCTTATTTGTGCAGCCTTAACCTTGTAAGCATGTATTTTTTTATTCAGTAGAAAACAAGTGTTTGTATTTGGTCACCCCCGACCATAAAATCACTTGTATCTCTGCTATAAATGGCGCTAAGACACTGAAATTTGGTAGATAGCTCCTCTTAGCAAGGATGCATTAACAATGATGCACTTTCAGAGTAGACCTCTGCAGCTTTTACGTCATGTACCGTATACGCAATGCATTGTAGGACATGTTTCGGACAAAACATGGCTTTTGTTTTCTCTTGAAACTGATCCCACAATGCATTGAAAATCAAGTAGTGACRTAAAAGGTTCAGAAGTCTATATGGAGGGCAATTTATTTCAAAACTCAAACATTTTCGTTTTGGGACGCCATCACTTTATTACTCTATTGAGCAGGAGTTAGTAATGTTTGTTTAGCAGATATGCATGCACTCTGTCTTGAGAATGCAGTTATCCAGAAAGACATTGAAAGGTCTTGATTTGAATACATTAAATACCTTTTTTGATTTGTTTTATTTTAGGCAATAATGGTCGTGATAAAAAACATACTAGAAGGCCTTGAAGCTCTCCAYGCCAGCAACCTAATCCACGCTGAAGTCACTATTAACAATGTCTWTGTGTCTAAACAAGATGACGAGTACAGAGGAATTCTTGGACATTATGACTTCTCCGAAGATGTGGTGAGTTGTGTAGCTTAAAGACCAAATTTCTCTTAAGTCATGTCATACAAAATGCCATCATACCATATGTCAATCAAATGATTGATGAATCTAAGACAAAATGCATGGGACTCACGACATGTTTTAATTAGCTTTTGAGAACTTTTTAAGCAAGGCTCTAAATCCTGTGAAATGTTGCCTTAGTATGAAAAGTCGATTTATCTTGTAAAATTGCAGACTAAAACTTATCTTGAGCATTTGAGATCTTTAGAGCCGATGCTATAGAGACTCTTAAGTAACAATGCGCGCAAAAAGCAGGCAACTTTCTATTGTTCTGCGGCAATTGCAACTTCYCSACATABRAATGTCTTSGTTTTCACACTGATTATATATCAACCTATGGGTAACAGATTTTTAAAATAAAATGTGGATAAACTATGTTTTGAAACAAACTTTCTTTTGTATTAAAAGATCTTGTCCAATCATAAGCACTCAAAACAATAGCCAAAAAATGCTTCTAATTTGCTATGTTCCCCACATAGAATTGTTATTAATATCAAAGCTAAGGAAAGCTTTTATGAAGTCGAAATCAGATATTAAACAAAATATTAAAAAATGCGCTTACTTTTGAAATTATGTCAAATTTTTATGTTTTAACCAATGAGATGGATGGATTATACAATACAAAATTAACACCTTCATGCATTCCATTGCCGTTTGCTTGCCTGCTTCTTACTCGGACCATTACTTAATCCTACCATATGTTGCACCTTAGTTTTAAAGTCGATTTATCCAGCGGTGGATCCAGCTGTTGGGTGCAGGGGGGACATACCCCCTCCTGAGATCTTATCCTTCAATACTTTCCTTATTTTGTATCTTCATGGTAATGATTTTTGTGGGGTGCACCCCCTCCTGAGAGCCCCGCACCCATCCCTGAGGAACATTCTGGATCCGCCCCTGTTATCTTATAACATGGAAAGTATTATGTGTAGTTAACCCTTATGCCCTTGAACTAACCAGGAACAACGATTGTCAAGAACAACTAACAGTATTGAAGGTCTACCTGAGGATCCTCCATTGTGTTGCAAGTTTGACGTCATGTGCCTTGGACAGCTTCTCAAGTCCATTAACAATATGAAGCTTCTTGAYGAGGTAAGTTGACCAAGTTCTTGATTCATTTTTGTTGAATTCTGATCTTTTCTTTTCATTTTTTATTTTTGAACAGTGAAATAGAGTTTGCAGTRTACTTAATTTTGTTTTAGTAATAAAATGTCTCATAAAAACTGCTTATTATGACAAATTTTTCCAGTTCCAAAATACCTTAATATGAAAAAAATTGTAGACTGAAAAAGTATCAATGAATGCCAGATTCACAATTCAAGAAAAGCTAATTTTTGTGACATAGATTTCATAATTGAGGTAAATTTATGAAAAAAACAACAATATAATTCATTCTTATAAATACATAAGTCTACATAGAGTAAAACGTAGCCAGGCTAGCATTATTCTCTTTGYATTAAAGAATACCATCTTAATACATGAATATTCTCTATAAAACAGGATGCTGAATTGCAATCAYTAGTAGAAACTCTTCTACCATCGCACACAACTTGCGTTCCAACAACCAAGCAAGTTCTTGATATGCCATTCTTTCAAAAAACAGCTTCACCTGTAGAGGAACAGTTGGACTAAACCATCAGATAAGGCGAAGTAGCTTAGACCTTACTGTATATTTTCCTTATCAGCTTCCATCACACTTTGACATGCAGGTTAAAACAATCTCAATTATTGAGATCTGACCTTTTTGTTGTTTTTGTTAATAGTTCTATTTTTAATATATATTTTTTACTGCAAGCTTTTGAATGTCGCATACATGAAGTACTAGTATTAATATTGAAGTAGGCTTTCTGTATTTTGGTCTTTGAAAACCATGTAAAAGTCATGGAATTTGAGACCTTCAAAAGAGAAGAAACCTTGTTTAGTATAGAGCAAATGCAAGAAAGCCATGAAATATAAAATCAAACTAAATACTAACAAATAATGGCTATTTAGACACAAATAATTTTCAATATCAATGAACCAGAGTACAATAAAGATGAATCAAAAATAGTCTCATGTGTATTCATCTTCATTGTGTTCTGGTTCATTGATACTGACAAATTGTTTCTAAATAGCTGCTATTTGTTAGTATTTAGTTTGATTTTATTTCATGGTTTTCCTGCGTTTGGTATAGACGCTACACCTTTTCTTGTGAGTTTCTGGTTTATGCAATAAATGTTTTCAGTATTTTAATGGGAGTTTTTTGGATTCAAAATTCTCTTTGCTCTGGTTCTGACTGAACTGAAAATTGTAACTATTAACGCGAAACGTTAATTTGATATAGAGTCAATCCCATTAAAGAATCATAACCAACTGCCGTACCTTGTGCGCTCGTATTATTGTTTACATACGTTTAAATGAGTCAAGGATACAATAAATTATAGATTGATAGTACCTGTGAGGTACTTAGTTAAATGTATTTCTGTCCAATCTGAAAGGACGGAAGACGATTCGCACTTGCTTTAAGAAATCCTACGAATCCGCCATTTTCGTGTCTTAAATGGCGCTTCGGCTCGCAAGGTACGGCGGGTGGTTATGATTCCTTAATGTTGTTCACTTGTAAAGACAACAACTAAGTCCTTTTCATATACCATATGCAAGAATATTTAAACATTAAGTTGTAAAACATTGCTGCAGTGTTTGTAACTTATTTGCTATTTATCGGTTAGTTTTAACTCTGAAATATTTCTTCAGGGACCTTAAACATTTTTATAAAATGACTTTGTTGTTTTCTTCATGTCTTTACAACTAAAGAATGTTAGTGGGATTCAGGTCTCGTGCTATTCCTTGAAAAGTCCTGGAATTGAAAACACATTTTGAAGGGCACTTGAAAGCCCTTGAAAATTGGGAACATTGCTGAAACTCCTTGAAAACTCCTTGAATCTGATAAAATGGACATGTTGCTTGTTAGCTTTTGGATTTAAATGTGCTTTTTTTTGAAAATTGCTTCTTGAAACGTCTGCAAACACCAAAAAATATATTCAAAATACTCCTTGAAATTTGCATTTGTACTTAAAAGTATTTGAAAATCCTGGAATTTAGTATTGAAAATGTAGCACAAATCCTGAGGATTGGCTGTAGGATTAAACAATAATAATGAAACAGTTGTTTATGGT